GTAGGTTATGGGTTAAACATTATACATTTTGACACGGTTTTCTTAATTTGCCTTTTTGGGCGAAAAAAGGCGAGATTTTCCGGTATCCAGTTTCTATTGGTCGAACCCGGGAAAAAGGAGAATCTAGGAAAACTGCATCTAATATAAAATCAGGTGTACCTCCCACACCCAAAATGCTCCCATGATACCAATTTCAAAAAATCAATTTTAGGACTTTCAAAAAATTCTAATTTTTTTATGAATGTTCATAACGTATGCGACTACAAGCCCTAAAAAATTAGATCCAAATTCAAAATACACATTGGAAAAAAAGACAAATCAAGCATGAATAGTGTCAGAAAAAGCCAAAAGCAAAATTGACACTATTCACATCTGGTTTGGTGATTGCATGCATGTACCCAATGTCTGAAGTTCAAATCCCTGCGCATGTACTTTTTATTCTCATTTCCCCACCACCTCATGCCGACAAGTGTGATCCACAAAGAGGCTTATGCTCAATTAATTTAATTAAATATAGAGCAAGGGTGCTTCTGCAAAGAAAAAGGACGCGCCGAGCTATTTCAGTTACTAACAATGGGCCATAGACATGCTGGCGTGCCACATAAGCGTGGGATAATACGTGCAAGGTGACCGTATTTGAGCGAGAACACAAGTTGGATGACCATAAATCTGTATTTTTAAAGTTTTATCACCAAACTGAACATCGAGCACAAGTTCTATGACTTCTGATGGTATTACCTCGAAGAAGAAACACAAATTGAGGTTGAGTTGGTTTGTGGTTAAATATGTGGCGTCTGTTAGACGGAAAAAAGTTTAATCTAAAAAACCTACTCCCTCTGTGACATAATATAAGATCGTTTTTGACACTACGATAGTGCCAAAAAGGGTTTACATTAAGTTGCAGAGGGAATATTTTTTGTATACGAAAGATGGGATGAGGAATTATATTATGGAGACCTGCTAGTTTTTTTAGGAAGCCCGCAACCAGTTATTCATGGCATGGCATCACACGAGATGTGGCGGGGTGCGTTCGCTCGTGCCCCAGACGAGATGTGCACTTGTGTGCGTCCAGGAAACCAAAAAGGCCGCGTTTTCGCCATTGAAGCTATGCGAAACAGTGAGCCCCGTCCTCTCGGAGTATGCCGTCTTGCCGGCGGATGGCACGTGGGGCGGGATCTTACTCGCATGGAACCCCGCTGTCTTTCGGCTCGACCGCATTGCTGTCACTGAGTTCACCATCATCGCTCGTGTGACACCCCTCCTCGGGGGCCAGCCCTGGTGGCTGACCACCGTCTACGGGCCAACGGTCGACGCGGATAAGCTGCGTTTCCTCGCCGAGCTTGCGGGTCTGCGCGTGGTTGCGGGCGGGCCCTGGCTTATCGTCGGTGATTTCAACCTCATCTACGAGGCGCGCGACAAGAGCAGCCCAAACATCAACCGCCGGCTCATGACCCGTTTACGGAACGCGTTGAACGCTAGCGAGCTCCGCGAACTCAAGCTGGCCGGGCGGGCGTTTCACCTGGTCCAACGAGCAGGCCAGGCCGGTGCTGGTACGCCTGGACCGAGCCTTCTGCGACGGCGACTGGGACCTCACCTTCCGGGGCGCCAAGCTTCAGCCGCTAGCCACCGCTATGTCGGATCACTGCCCACTACTGCTCACTTGCGAGCCGCCGGTTCGGCGGCCGCCCTGTTTCCACTTCGAGGCATCCTGGCCACACGTCGAAGGGTTCCAAGAGCAGGTTGCCGCGGCCTGGAGTGAGAATTGCCCGCCGATGGATGTGTTCGGCCGCCTGGCCCTAAAACTGCGGCGTACAACCGTAGTGTTGTGCCGATGGCACCACACTCGCATCGGCGACACCCGTCTGCAGTTGCTCTTCGCTCAGGAGGTTGTGCTTTGCCTTGATACGGCTCAGGAATTCCGTACGGTCGAGGCAGACGAGCTGCAGTTGCGGAAAATCTTGAAGTCCAGGATCCTGGCCCTCATGGTCATTGAGCGGATCCACGCCAAGCAGCGATCCCGGGTGACGTGGTTGCGCGCTGGCGATGCCAACACGAAATTTTTCCACCTCAAGGCAAATGCCCGGCACCGAAAAAATTTCATCGCCTCCCTGAGCGATGGCCACGGCATTGCCACTGATCAAGGTCGCAAAGCGGAGGTCGCCACAGCCTTTTTCCACCGGCTCGTGGGCACGCCGCAGGCCTGCCATGCCACGGTTGACTGGGATGGGCTTGGTCTACCGCACGCTAACCTCGATGAGCTCGAGGTGCCTTTCTCAGAGGAGGAGGTACTCGCGGCCATCAAGGACATGCCCAGCGACCGTGCGCCGGGGCCGGATGGCTTCACCGGGGGCTTCTACAAAGCGGCGGCCACCACCATCATGCCGGACCTGATGGCAGCATTCCAGCAGTTGCACCAGCTGAACCGGGCAAGCTTGCATCGCCTGAACACGGCTAACATTGTGCTGCTGGCTAAAAAGGTGGATGCGACTTCGATGACGGATTACAAGCCGATCAGCTTGCTCCATAGTGTGGTAAAGCTGTTCATGAAGGTGCTCGCGATGCGCCTCGCGCGGTGGATCGACGAACTGGTTGGCCCGGCCTAGTCTGCCTTCATAAAAGGGCGTTGCATCTAGGACAACTTTCTGTTCGCCCGCGGGATGGCACGACACTTCCACCGCGTCAAACGGGCCATGCTCTTTGTCAAGCTCGATATCGCCAAAGCTTTCGACAGCGTCTCCTGGCCATATCTGCTTGACATGCTCCGTGCCCGGGGTTTTGGACCGAGATGGTGTGATTGGATATCCATGCTTCTAGCTACCTCCTCGTCGCAGGTTCTGATCAACAGGGTGCCTGTCCGATCCATTATCCACTGTTGTGGCCCGCGTCAGGGTGATCCTTTGTCACCATTCTTGTTCATCCTCGCCATGGAGCCCCTCCAACGGCTCTTGGAAGTGGCAGTGGACACTGGGGTCATCTCCAAGCTACAGGGTCGGTTGCCGCAGCTGCATGCTTCCCTCTACGTTGACGACGTTGCTCTCTTCCTCAACCCCGTGAAGACCGAGCTGGCTGCTCTCCGCTCCATCCTTGCTGCCTTCGGCTTGGCGTCTGGGCTTAAGGTCAACTTCGAGAAAAGCGCCGCCCTCCTCATAAGATGCGAGCAGTTAGATGTGAATGACGTGATCTCACCACTAAGGGCCAAGGTGGAGACCTTCCCCTGCAAGTTCTTGGGGCTGCCGTTGTCGCTCCGGACCCTGCGTAAGGTGGACCTGCAGCCGCTGCTTGACAAGCTCCGCGCACGTCTGGCGTGTTGGAAGGCTAGGCTCCTCACCCTTGCTAGTAGACTCGTCCTCCTCAACTCCATCCTAACAGCTTTCACCGTCTACTGGTCGGCCGTCTATGCGCTCCCGCCATGGGTTCGTAAGGAGCTAGATCGGCTGCGGCGTGCATGGCTATGGCGCGGAGAGGAGGTGTGCCATGGCGGGCACTGCAAGGTTGCGTGGAGCCGCGTTTGCCGCCCGCGTGATCTTGGTGGGCTCGGTATTGTTGACCTGGAACGGTTCGGCGTGGCGCTCCGTCTCCGATGGCTTTGGGCGGAAAGAACCTCGGCTACTCCCTGGCAGGGTTTACCGGTCCCGGTGACACTCGAGGAGCGACACATGTTTGCGGCAGCCTGCGCGGCCACCGTTGGGGATGGTAACCGAGCCAGTTTCTGGTTCGACAGCTAGCTGCCCGAGGGGGCACCGCTCGTGATCGCCCCCGACAGTTTCAAGCTTTCAAGACGCAAGGCGCACTCCGTGCGCCAAGCACTGCTAGGGAGCAGATGGATCCAAGACCTCCGCGGCCGGGTGACCACCGACCTGTTGCCTTCCTTCGTCAGGTTATGGGCGTGTGTCAATTCCCGGCAGCCGCTCTCCCCTGGCACCGCGGACTCCTTCCGTTGGAGACTAACAGACAATGGCATCTATACGACGGCTTCCGCGTATAAGCTATTCTTCATCGGATCCACTACTTTCCCATTGCGTCAGGAGATCTGGAAAGCCTGGGCTCCGCCCAAATGCCGCACCTTTGCCTGGCTGCTCGCCCAACGGCGGATCCTCACAGCTGACCGCCTGCTGGCCCGGCAATGGCCCAATTCCTACTTTTGCCCGCTATGTATGCGGAACCTCGAGACATCGATGCATCTCATGAAAGAATGCCCGTGGGCGCAGCAGCTATGGGAAATGGTGGCGCACCGTTTCGCAATCCCGGAGCTAAAACCGGCTACATGGCAGCCGGATATGCCGTGCATAGGCTGGATGAGCAGCTTGAGCAGCGCTCCTTCCACTCGGAATTTGGCAAAATCGGTTGCCCTCCTGGTTTTTTGGTGGATCTGAAAGGAGTGTAACACGCGCATCTTCGACGGCGGCACAGATCGCTCGCCGCGGCAAGTCTTGCACCTCCTGCTATCGGAGGCAAGCGACTGGGCGCTGGCAGGAGGCCGACACCTAACTTTGCGAGAGTAGCCCAGGCCGACCCCCTCTTTTTTTCTTCTTTTGTGGTCTCTCCGTTTTTCTTGTTCCGCAAGCTAATGCGTTAGCCGGCACCCTGTATTTGGCGTTCTTTCGCCTCCCCTTCTAATCAACGAAATACCCAGTTCTCCTGCATTTATTTCAAAAAAATGGCATGGCATCACATCTGAAGCGATGCAAACGTGTCCCACGCACGCTCTTCCTGTGCCAGCGTTTCTCTCGCCGGCCTCACGCGACCCGAACCGTTCAACTCCGTGGGAGCACCCTCACAAACCGAGAAGCGACCACACGTGGCCCGCAACCCCGTTCTCCACAAGACTTTGCGTGTCACCGTGGCTGGACCTGGAGCGCCGTTTCCGCCAGAGCAAAACCCCAAACCAAATGCTCACGGTCACCTGAACTAAAGCGCTGGATTCCAAAGTTGGTTTGCAGAGCAATGCTCGGCGGTGCGAAACAGAACAAAAGTTTCTCTCACGCACACCGTGAACGATCATGAACGGTCCAAGCGGCGCCGCTTGCATAATCGCGCACACTTGGCGTCGTCGCTGCCACCTCCAGAACACCCAATTTAGATACAGACTGGGGTTGCAGGCATCGTCGCCCACACCCACCGCCCCCCAAGAACCCCTTATCTTCTCCCCCGGATTGAGATCGCGGTCCATCTTCTGTCCGTCCAGCCCGAGATAAGACCACCCCAGAACCCCATCCCGTCCCTCCCACCCAATGCATCTGTTCGTCTGATGAATGAATTGGTAGTGCACATTGAGGACAGGGAGAAGATTTAGAGCAGAGTTTTGGGTTAGTCGAAAAACAGTTTCTTTGAGTCGAGAAGATTTATAGAGTGGTGGGTTAATTAACCCGAGGTTTTTCTCGAGTACCATTATTGGGAGGGAGTTGTTGCTGTGCCATGGATCTGCCTGCCCCACCAACCAATCACCCCAGAACTTTATCCTCCATTATCCTAAGCCGCCGTCGTGCCGACGCGGGGGCGAGAATAAACAAGTGCTCCGCGAGCCAGCGACTCCTCTCGCCTCCACCACTCCCTAGCCACCACTCGCTGCTTCACCTCCGCCCCGACCGTGAGCGGCCCGCCGTCGCGAGATCCAGCGCCGTCTCCGCGCCGCCGCTGGTGCCGCCCATGACGACGCCGGCGCCCAACCCGACCATCCGGAGGCTCGACGTCGCCTCGCCGGTGCCCGCCGACATCGACATCGCCAACGCCGTCGAGCCGCTCCACATCGCCGACATCGCCGCCGAGCTCGGCGTGCCGCCAGAGCACTACGATCTCTACGGCAAGTACAAGGCCAAGGTGAGGATAAGTGCGGTTCTTGATCGGTTGGTTCCTGGACAAGGACTGCCGGCCTTGCGTGGTGTGATCGGGTGACTCGATCTGACTGGACTTTGTGCGGCGATGTGCAGGTACTCCTGTCCGTTCTTGACAAGCTGCAGGGGCAGCAGGACGGGTACTACGTGGTGGTCGGCGGCATCACGCCGACGCCGCTCGGGGAGGGCAAGTCAACGACTACTGTCGGGCTGTGCCAGGCGCTGGGGGCGTTCCTTGATAAGAAGGTCAGATTTTCAGAGCTATTTTCGTTTGGCTGTCATCGGCTAGATAACCCGCACCTGGTTGATTAGTGCTTCTCCGTTAGAACAAAGCCGGCAATTTGTGATGTGTCGTAAGAATGTAGTTTGCCTGTCAACAACGGGATAACCTGCACCAAGTTCATTAGCGCTTCTGAATTAGAACAAAGTTGGTACTGAGGTAATCCAATGGGCTTATTTGGGACAACATTGGAAGGATTAGAAAAGTGTTTGATGCAAATTTAGACGGGGCAATAGTATTCTCTTGCTGTCGCTTAGTTAGTAACACATGTAAATTAGCCATCACGGGTTCTGGATTTGCGTAACAGTTGGATCGATTTATTTATGAAGTTGTGTTGACATAAACACTCTGTAGAGCTGCAGAATTTTCAGTGCTTATGGTGGAATTTCTTCTGTATAGCCACTTGATGGATAAGGCTGCCCGCAATGGAGTAGCATGCCAACTAAGCAATTTTGATCCTTTTTTTTAAAACCAAGTAAGTTTGATGAGGTGGCATAGAATTAAGGTGATGAGACTAGCCAGTAGCCACAATGGGGAGTAACTTAGACTAGTAACATGCTTATGTTACTAGTCTATGTTACTACCTCTATAGTGGGAAGTAACATATGTGTGGTAACATGCAACACTTCATTTATTAGGCTATAGACTCATCGCCTTGATATGTGTGATGTTACTCATACTAGTAGTAATTAGCTATGTTACCACATGCCTCTCTTTCTTCATTTATTGCTTGCCACATCATCTATTTTATCTAGATATGTGTGATGTTACTACCGATGTTAGACTAGCCACAATGGAGAGTAACATACACTAGTAATATACACATATCCCTAGACTATGTTACTACCTCAATAGTGGGTAGTAACATAAGTGTGGTAACATGCAAAGCTTCATTTATTAGGTTATAGACTCATATTGCATTGGGACATGTGATGTTACAGTAACTAGCTAAGTTACTAGTACTACATCTCTCCTCATTAACTCATTGTCACATAAGCAAATTTGCTGAGTTGGACTCGATGTTACTACCGAAGTTACTCCCACTGTGGCTAGTCTTACTCCCATTGTGGGTAGTCTGAGAGGGTGCTTGGATCCAAGGGACTTATTTTAGTCTGACTAAAAATAGTCTCTTTAAGAGGCTAAAGTTCCAAGCACCCCTGACTAAAGAGGGGCTAAGAGGGTGCTTGGATACGTTTTAGTCCCATGACTAAAAGTAGTGGGACTAAAACTTGCTAGCCTCATCCATGCTTGGATCCAAATACTAAAGAGACTAAAATCAAGTTAATGAGCATTTATTATCCTCCAAACCCTCCAATCCAGAACTCGCCTGTGTTAAAGGAGAGAAGTTAAATGAGGAGAGAGAGGACTAATCCACATTTTAGTAGGGGTACCCCTGACTAAAAAAATTTAGTCTCAAGACTAGTTTTAGCCCCTCTTTAGTCAGGGGTGCTTGGAACTTTAGCCTCTTAAAGAGACTATTTTTAGTCAGACTAAAATAAGTCCCTTGGATCCAAGCACCCTCTAAAACTAGTCTTGAGACTAATTTTTTTTAGTCAGGGGTACCCCTACTAAAATGTGGATTAGTCCTCTCCCTCCTCATTTAACTCCTCTCCTTTAACACAGGCGAGTTCTGGATTGGAGGGTTTGGAGGATAATAAATGCTCATTAACTTGATTTTAGTCTCTTTAGTATTTGGATCCAAGCATGGATGAGACTAGCAAGTTTTAGTCCCACTACTTTTAGTCATGAGACTAAAACGTATCCAAGCACCCTCTGATACCATATCATATTAAATGATGTGGTACTTTGTGTCATGCATGACAATAAATGTAGTCCTTTATGATACCAACATATGATAGTACTTTGCATTTCGGACGTAGTATCATATAGTTAGATTTAAAAAATTGGACATCTCGAAAGTATCCGAAGCAATTCCTGCTTTTTATATTGGTGTAAATATAGACACAATTCTAGAACATATGGAATTTTTTGTCATCTATTGCTATACATAGAGGGAATTGACTATATATTATTAAGTTCGTTGGAATTTGATTATATATGATATTGATATGTTTTACTATTTTATTTTTTGTCGTCTATATAGGTTGTCACTTGCGTCCGTCAACCATCACAAGGGCCTACCTTTGGAATCAAGGGGGGTGCTGCTGGAGGTGGCTACAGTCAAGTTATACCCATGGATGAGTTCAATCTCCATATGACCGGAGATATACATGCAATTACAGCTGCAAACAATCTTCTTGCTGCTGCCATTGACACAAGGATTTTCCATGAAGCTTCTCAATCAGACAAAGCTCTGTTCAATAGATTGTGCCCACCAAACAAAGAAGGGAAGAGGCGCTTCGCTGATGTAATGCTCAGACGCCTGATAAAGCTTGGCATCTCAAAGACAGACCCCGATGAGCTAACTCCAGAAGAGGTTAGGCGTTTTGCGAGGCTTGATATTGATCCTGCATCCATTACTTGGAGGCGGGTCATGGATGTTAATGACCGCTTCCTGAGGAAAATCACCGTTGGACAAGGCCCTGAAGAAAAAGGTATGGTGAGAGAAACAGGCTTTGACATATCTGTGGCAAGTGAGATAATGGCTGTATTAGCTCTTACAACTTCCCTTGCTGACATGAGGGAAAGACTTGGAAGAATGGTGATAGGCAACAGCAAGGCGGGTGAGCCGGTTACAGCTGATGATCTTGGTCTTGGAGGTGCCTTGACTGTCCTAATGAAAGATGCTATTCATCCCACCCTCATGCAAACTCTTGAAGGCACTCCTGTTTTAGTGCATGCTGGACCTTTTGCTAACATTGCACATGGGAACTCTTCCATAGTTGCTGATAAGATTGCTTTGAAGTTGGTTGGGAAGGGTGGCTTTGTTGTTACAGAAGCTGGTTTTGGCGCTGATATTGGGACTGAGAAATTCATGGACATAAAGTGTAGGTATAGTGGATTGACACCTCAGTGTGCTATTATTGTGGCCACAATTAGGGCTCTTAAAATGCATGGAGGAGGCCCAGATGTTGTGGCTGGGAAGCCTTTAGATCATGCATATGTGAGTGAAAATGTGGCTCTTGTTGAAGCTGGGTGTGTTAATCTTGCTAAGCACATCTCAAACACAAAGGGTTATGGAGTGAATGTTGTAGTAGCAATTAACAAATTTGCAACAGACACAGACGCTGAAATGGAAGTTGTGAAAAAGGCGGCTATGGCAGCTGGGGCTTTCGATGCTGTCGTTTGCTCCCATCATGCACACGGTGGTAAAGGAGCGGTTAGTTCTCTTCTCTTACCTGGATTGTTAATCAGACATTCCATTTTAATGAATGAATTACATGCAGCTCTCCCCCATGGTCTAAAAAAAGGGCATTCTATACATGATATCACTTTATGGAGAAATCTTTAACTGCGAATCTATTGTCCATTTCATATGTTTGTCTTCCAACGCCGATGATGTAGTGAATTTTGTTTCTGTACTTTGTGACTGTTCTTTAATGTCCAACATAGATCAGCCCAAGAGTAATTAATATTATTGTCTGTTGCCAGACTTTTCAACTTATCAAGAATATCAAAGTGGTCACTGCACCGAACAGTTCTTACATGATATGCCCATGCATGCCTCTACATTTCACTAATACAGTAGTGCCTAGCGAGTTGATTTCACAAGAAAACATGCTTATTTCTTCAATTTAAGAACATTATCAAGGCTTGAATTTGCAAATTGAACTAGTTAACTAATTCTATCTGGCCATTTTACTTGTATTCAGGTTGATCTTGGAGTCGCTGTTCAAAGAGCATGTGAAAGCCAGGCAGAGCCCCTGAAGTTTTTATATCCTTTAGATTCTAGCATAAAGGAGAAGATTGAGTCAATAGCCAAGTTCTATGGTGCTAGTGGTGTTGAATACTCTGAACAGGTATTTCCTTGTGTTCTTCTATTGTACTCCCTCCGTCCGGAAATACTTGTCGGAGGAATGGATGTATCTAGACATATTTTAGTTTTAGATACATCCATTTTTATGCATTTCTCCGACGAGTATTTCCGGACGGAGGGAGTAGATACTTAGTGTGATTGTGAGATTTGTTCTAATTATGAGAATAATGGCCTAAGATACATTCCAGAAATATGCCACCTTCCCAAGTGCTAATTTGGTGTGTCAGAGTTCTCCACATTTTCATGTTTTGAGATATATCAGAAATACTTAAGAGATGGCACTAGAGGGCTATATGGAACACTCGCGTCTACTTGCAGTCATAAGATTTTGCCCGCTGACTTCTCTATCTATTTCCTGTAGGCCGAAAAGCAGATCGAGATGTACACCAAGCAAGGCTTCTCCAACCTCCCGATATGCATGGCGAAGACTCAGTACTCCTTTTCTCATGTTCCATCCATGAAGGGCGCGCCATCTGACTTTGTGCTGCCGATAAGAGATGTGCGGGCCAGCATCGGAGCTGGTTTCATCTACCCGCTCGTCGGCACCATGAGCACAATGCCTGGTCTCCCTACAAGGCCCTGCTTCTATGAAATCGACATCGACACGACCACCGGGAAGGTCATGGGTCTGTCATGAGCTCAGCTGGCACCGTTTTTGGGCTGGTGGTCCTGTGCTGTTGCGCTATCGACCGTGTGCAGTTTCAATTTTGGGGACATTCCTGAAGCAGAATAAATGAATAATGGCCTCATCGGTGGCTTGGTGCGATTGTGGGGGTAGTACATTTCTGTAACTTGATGGATGTAGATTTGGTCGAACCATAGTGTCTGCCTGTACTCTGTTCGTGTTCCTTATAGTTTGATGTTGAGATTTTTTTTTTTGGTGAAGTTTGATGTTGAGCATTATCGGCGTGCTTTGCTGGTTCTATTTCATATATTTTTTGTTTGATAAACTTCTTCTCCTTTATCCATTCATAAGTAAAGTAGCATCCTTTACAAGTAAAGGGATAACCTCATCAGGGGCGTTATCCATCCAAATCCTCGGAGAAGAAAACCTAGCTAATCTTGCTAGTTCATGAGCTATTCGATTACGTTCCTTATTACAATGATCATAAATGACATGGGAAAAACTTAATGACATGAAATAACAGTCATCTATAATAGATGAAGCGACTGAAGAAGAGTAGCCTTGGCTCAACGCATTCACCACCTCCACGCTATCCGAATTCACTTCAATCTTACTACATCCGACGGTATTAGAAAGATTCAAACCACAATTGCTTCTGCTGTGAACGAGTCGAAGCAAATGTCTATCTTTTCATTAGTAGCCGCTATAAATTTCCCTCTATGGTCCCGGATAACTGCTCCAAATGTTGCTGCGAGTGTGTCATTATCAAATCCCGCGTCAACATTTAATTTCACGTAACCATACTTTGGTTTCAACCAAGCATCTGAACGGACGTGAGCCTTTGGGCTGTAAGAGATGGTATAATTTGCTACTAAGCCTCTCACTGACATATTGATTTGATATGCGCTTTAAGTTTCTTCGTCATGTGTCAATTTTCTCCTTTCATACCACAAATACCAAGCCGTCGTTGCCATCATTTCTCTGAACTTCGGCAAGCCCAACACTTGGATTTGTTGTTCTGGAAGGCACAGAAGATGTGCCAACACAAGCTCACCTGCCTTGTCAACTTTTAGTGCCTCTTTGATAACAAGCTCAAGACCGAGCATCTTCCACACGTCCGTTGCCAATTTGCATTCGAACAACATATGTCTTATGTCATCAGGCCCCTGGTTACAGGCTGGGCAACTCGGATTTATTTTCAAGTGCTTATTAGCCAGGATAGATCGATAGGGAATAGCACTCTGGAGCGCGCGCCACATAAATATTTTTATCTTTGCTGGGCAGACTAAGTTCCATACCGAGTCCCATGTGTAAGATGGGTTTGAAGCTCCAGCCGTTGATTTCAACTTGTGCCCAAATTGAAATTCCCATTCTGTATGGTATGCAGATCGCACCGTGAAAGTCCCTGACTTTGTCATGTTCCATGCCAGGAAATCTGTCATCTCATGTAATGGTAGTGGAATGGCCAAAATCCTTTGAACATCCACTTGCCAGAACGTTTGGTTAACCAGCTGCTCATCCCAACTCCCTGTCACTGGATCAATGAGGTCAGAAACTTTAGAAAGAAGATTGTTACCCCTTGGTGAAATCACCTTTCTTGTTGGGCTATGAGGTATCCAGGGATCATCCCATATGCTAATTTTCTCACCATCACCAACTCTCCAAATATACCCACGTCTGAGCGTATCAACTCCGGCCATAATACTCCGCCATGTATATGAAGCCTTCTTTCTTAAAGTTGCATTCATCAGATCTCCATCAGAAAAATATTTCGCCTTAAGGATCAACGCACACAAAGAGTCCGGGTTGTCAATAAGGCGCCATGCCTGTTTTGCCAGAAGTGCAAGATTAAAGCAGTGAATATCTCTGAAGCCCATACCCCCTTCTTTCTTGAGAATACACATCTTCCACCATGCAAACCAGTGCATCCTCTTATGAGTTGCGTCATCACTCCACCAAAAATGAGATATCGCATTTGTGATTCCTTTACAAATTTTTTTAGGAATTTGAAAGACCGACATCGCATAAGTTGGTATTGCTTAAGCAACAGACTTAATAAGAACTTCTTTCCCTCCTGAAAAGAGGCACTTCTCCTTCCACCCCGTAAGCTTCATATGGTACTGAATTTTCTTTGCGTAGCTGCATAATGAAAATTTTTTAGAACATAATGATGGGCCGGTTCGGCTGCTAGCGACGGCGAACCATGTTGTTGTACTGGGCCGCCCCGTCCAGCCATCTTGGGCCGTGCCAGACGGTGACGGCTAAACAATTTGCTTTTCCATGCAGGACTGCTTTTCTTTCTCATTCTTAGTAGGATTGATCTCCTCAAAATTAAAAAAAGGACTTGCTCTAAAAGAAAACACAGGATGAAGTAGCAGCCACAGAGAGCAACTGAAAGGTAGGCTTTCGTAGCTGCCTGTGCCGCAAAGTCAATGGCCGAGCGGAGCACGTCCGACACACGGACACGGGAGCCACACATGCAATTTGGAAGCCGTCAAGAGTCAAGACCTCGCCGGTAGGGCGACGCCGGTTCGCCGACACCGACGTGGCTCACATGCCTGCCCTGTTTCCTCGAACGCCACCACCTCGCTCTCAAACCCTACTGCTCAGCTCAGCCCGACGCGACCGCGGCAGAGGCCACTTCACCGGTCAAACGCGGCGACGTTGCCGCCCGCATGGTAGCAACAGCTAACCGTCGTAGGCGCTGGGAGACTGGGTCAGAACTCAGAACACACGAGGACACGAACGGCTGGATGGGCTAGTCAGCATGGCCTGGCGATCTACTCATCAGTCCGTTCCGTGGTACTGCTTGCAAGTTGCGACGGAGGCCGGTGTGCGACACGGCCCGGAGATCATTGTTTGGATCGATGTGATGTGAGTCTTTTAAGCGTTTCTATCAACTACTACTAGTGTGCTTGCTAATGCGCTGGACCTACCGTCCATGATGGTGTGCTGCGGCCGGTCGGGTACGAGATGGGCCAAAAAGGTCCGCTCGTGGTCGGCATTTTTCTGTGCCTGTGCTGCATGCCTTCCTACGATACGAGTGGATGCATGCATGCGTTCCTGCTTTTGCATATACCGTAAGTGACTTCCTCTCTCTAATCTCCACCGTAGTTGGGACTCGTCGTTTATTCCTAGTTGTCGCAATCACCTCAAGCAGTGGTAATCTGCTACTATAATTGCGTCTTATAGATTCCCAGCCGCGATGTGCTTTGGTACCGTACTTAGCGTGTGCCGTGCCGAACTGGATACCCGCGGTGCAGTGCTGCTACATCCACACTTGCACACTCGTCGTCTTTTCATTCTGATAATATACTTACTTGCTACTCTTGGGGGATACCGTCAGAAGCCACGAGAGGAGGGCTCTTTATTTCAAGCACGCGAGAATTCAGTGCAAAATGAGCACCATCACGGGATGCCTTCTCTTCTGCGTCTAGAAACAGTTTCTTTGACAAAATATGCACGTTTTCCTTGCTCTCACCATCCTAGAGGCCAAACTCCTGTACTCTCTCGTGCGTACAATTTTATACGCTTGTGTCCCCATAATTGCTGCTTCCACGTCCGTAGGAATAAGGGGTGGAAATGCAGAAAAAACGTTTCTCCTAGGCGATGTAAATATAGTGTTTCTTTTTTATTACAAAATGTGCACGTTTTTCTTCAGCTATCACCATCATAAAGGCCAAACTCCCGTACTCTCCCATGTCTAAAGGTTATGTACACTGTGCTGCCTGTGATTGCTACTTTCAATATCTGTACGAATAGGAATAAAAAACGTACAATTGGTATAGGAATGCAGTGCAAAACTGTGGACCGGAAAACATAAGAATTATGTAAACTTGCGTGTTTGGTTCGCCAGAACAGAAAAAAGGAATTCCACTAAATACAATAAATAGAAGTCAAATCATATAAAAAGGTATAATTAAGATGATAGTACTATGTCACTAAAGACCCTGGTTAGGTACTACATAAAAAGGAGTTCAACAAAGAGGTCAAATTAGATTGTAAATTGTAATTTTTTTCCTTTGAAAGTAAGACCAAAAGAAAAATCTCAACTTTTCCTTTGTGACATTCCTTTGAACCAAATGAGTGAATGGTGCTTATAGAAAAATTCCACTTCCTATTCTTTTTCCATGAACCAAACAAGCCCTCGATTTAGAAAAAAAGGGAAATACAAATGCTGTAGAAGTTCAACCAACCGGAACTAGAGGTAGACCTCTAGTCCCGGTTTGTATAACCAGCCGGAACTAAAGATGTCCCTATATAAACCCTTCGTCCAGCACGAGCCCATTTCTCTATTTTCTCCTTTCCCCTCTTCGTTCTTCCCCTTAGCTCGAGCTTATCCTCCATCTTTTGCCAATATTTGTCAAGATTTGGGGCACCCCACCTCTCCAAGTGTTCACAAAGGCTAACAACTTTGTCCTTTCATCTCTCATTGCTAGATTAGCTCGTGCAATGCTCTATAAGTATAGTGATTTGTTAGTTTTAGTTTGGGAGTAATTATGTGGGAGTTTATTTGATTTATATTTAATTTGAGCTCAAATTAACTTCTTGGTTTGCATATGTGTACGTGTGGTTTACCTAGTGCCTTCCTGTCCCCGTCCTAAGCATCGTCGATTGCCCTCACCGTCCCGTCGCTGCATCACCTTGGTGAGCCTCTTGTTCTTATCCTTTTTATTAAAAAAATCTTATTTGTATAATTTAGATAGTTACTTGTATAATTTTCTTCTTGTATGATTGTTTGTTATACAT